CACGCTTGAGGTATTCGTCCAATCACAACGCACTGGATAGCTGGCCAATCTGAGCACACCTTGCTTTTCAGACCGATGAGCTTTGTAAAAATCGACGCGTTTCAGAAAGGCGGGGCATAGAGGAGAAACAATAATGTACAGTATGTGGAAAATAATGTTTTTTTTAACCTTAAACCGCATAAACACATTTCATTACACCAAATACACAAAATAATGTTATTTTTAGCAACATCATATGACCCCGTTAATAAAAGCAGAAGAATACCTAGATCAAGGCTAATTCACATGGCTTTTGAACTAGCATCACTTACACTGAATTCACAATGGAAATAAACTTTGTCCTAATGTTTAGGCACTGAAACATTATCATTCTTCACCATATCAAAAAACAACAACAACAACAACCACCAAAAACCTCAAATTCTGCAACTGCTGTGTTACAAGGAATTAATTTGTGTATTTACTACTGCATCACAATATTGTTATTTACTCTACTCTGTCTGATGCCAATTCTTTTCCCAAAGTCAATATGTAAATGTAGCAGTGCCACTGTCTGCTACTGAATCTCAACATTTACATATGATCAAAACAATTCTCACAAGAAAAAGCATATTTGAAAACTGACAAAAATAGTATCAACATCCATGTTCCCATCTGCCTGACATGGGTTGATATGTTATGGACAATAAAGTGGAATAAGATGTCTAGCAGTAAGACAGTTGGAGGTAGACTTCATGTACATGCTATCACTCACAATCACACTTGAATCTGAATGTCCTGCACAAGCTAAGACCAAGACGTTGGTTCTACTTCATCCTAGTAGTAAAAATACAAAACAGCACTTACTACTCTGCTCCATCTCTTTAATTTCCTCCGGTGCGATCTTCAGTTTGTCCACGTGTTCACGCAGCACACTCGTCCACTTCTGCAATGACTCCATGATGGTCCAAGGCCGTGACATGTCCACCACGAACACCGCTAGACTGTCCTTCAGCGACTCAGCAGTCACTGCAAATTTCAGCAAGCCTTTGTGGTACAGGTCTCCATCCAGGATCCAAACGCTGCAGCGAGTCAAATCTGGAAGTTTTGTAAATTGTAAATTTAAAAAACTGAATAGACTGCATTTTCCACCGACCAAAAGAGAATAAAAAACTTTAAAAAGACTTAAAAAGACTTAAAAAACAGGGAATTAAATAGTTAATCTAGTAGTAAAAATACAAAACAGCACTTACTACTCTGCTCCATCTCTTTAATTTCCTCCGGTGCGATCTTCAGTTTGTCCACGTGTTCACGCAGCACACTCGTCCACTTCTGCAATGACTCCATGATGGTCCAAGGCCGTGACATGTCCACCACGAACACCGCTAGACTGTCCTTCAGCGACTCAGCAGTCACTGCAAATTTCAGCAAGCCTTTGTGGTACAGGTCTCCATCCAGGATCCAAACGCTGCAGCGAGTCAAATCTGGAAGTTTTGTAAATTGTAAATTAAAAAAACTGAATAGACTGCATTTTCCACCGACCAAAAGAGAATAAAAAAACTTTAAAAAGACTTAAAAAACAGGGAATTAAATAGTTAATCGCAGCTATGGCACCCAACAAGTTTTATCATCATGACAGACCTAGTTCACAAATTCATTTAAACTTTTATCACCTACTTTTACCCAGTATAAACGCACTTACCATCTCTGTCTTCATCCTGGACATTCAGGTACAAGTATTCCAGCCCTCTACCTTTCTTATTGTGCTCGGCTCCTTGAAGTTTTGACATGAGTGTTGTCTTTCCTGAACCATCCTCCCCTAAGACATAAGCAGAAATCATATCACTTTTAATAAACATGACATATAAGTAGTAATTAGAGTGTTTAGACAAAGAAAATGATTTCAGTTTATGACTGGGACAAAGTTAAAAGGATAGTTTACCCAAAAATGAAAATTCTGTGATCCCACCCTCATAACATCCCAAACCTGTACGACTTACTTTCTTATGCAGAACACATCAGAAGATATTTTGATATTTTCTGTCCATACAATACAAGTAAAAGGTAAGCAAAACAGTTTGTTTACCAGCATTCTTCATTTTTGTTCCACAGAAGAAAGAAAATCATACGTGTTTGGAACAACATGAGGGTGATTAAATGACAGAATTTTCATTTGTTTGTTAACTAACCTTCAATATCAGATCCCTATACTGTGTTCAACGTTATTAACCTAAGGTTTTCATTTGAATGCATGTCGACATTTGTAAGCAAAACTTTTAATAAGCCATGAATTTGGATTGAAAATCAAATTCAGCAAAAAAGGCACATACCAAAAAGCAGTATATTTTTCCCAGAAGGCAATTTAGAGCTGGAGCGTGTGGAAACTTCGCTGAGGATTGAAGACCTGAAGGACAAAACAACAAATGAGCACCGACCAATTGGCATCCATAACATCAACAAACATAGGTTTAATACGGTAGTTAGTAGTTTGATGGTTAGTTCTGACGGCAGACAACTGTAACTATGTACTATGATGCTACCAAAACATCCGGAAAAGGCCGTTACCACAAGGAACCTCTCGGTTTATTTCGACTCGGAGGGAGTGTCAGCCACGTTAAAAAAGTAAATAACTTAAGTAAATTGTGGATTAATGCTACCTGGAGACGCGAACCGTTTCAAACGGTTCAGTCCGATTTGGTGAACTGGTTCAACCGGTTCACTAAGAAGAACCGGTTAAATTGAACGATTCGTTCGCGAACCGGTCATCACTACTCACTAGTGATTGATGTCAGTCAACCGTTAGATCCCATCAGAAACAGACATCAGGAGTCAGTTTCCTGACACTTATCATAATAATAAAAAGAAATCACCACTCGTACATATAGAAAATCAGCGAAGCAAAGCTTCTTCAGAAACGACTTGAACTCAACATAAACCGTCGAGTTTTAACAAATGCTAGCCACACCAGTAAGCATGACATGAGCATATAAAGCGAGACAATCGGTTTCCTAACGCCTCCGAAGACTTTCATCATTATTTCGCCCGTTGTAACGGTCTAATCTAGCCAGACTCAGACTTTGCTATAAGTTTATGTAAAGTGGTTTGGGCTCATCCGGGACCGGCGTCTGAACTGGGCAGCACCCGGCTGGTGACAAAGCAGCACATCAACTGTCAAATAAACTAACTCCCTGCAAAATCCGCTGCACTCCTGGACACTTTGAGGGTGCGGGCGTACCAGAGGTTTTGTCCTTCATCATCCTCGTTGCTGTTTTCCATAGTGTCGCCTGTCCCGGCTGCGCCCAGTAGCTTCTTCTCTAAAACGGGAGCCATCTTGAGTGTAGAGGCACAAAGGGAGGCGCACACTGACTGCCTGAGGACCTCACATGAGACGCTTCGCGAATTGCCTATCCTACTACGGCGAAGGACTATCTTATGAATATTAAATACGTACTGTAGTTAACGCAGACGCTAGAAGCGGGCGCATAGGTTGGGTCATGAATATTAATTATACATATGAAAGTTTTAAAGAAGAGCCATAGTGACTACATTAATATTCATGAACAACGCCTTTATCGTAGTACGAGTCTTAAATTATCGCACAGAAAGACAACTTAACAAAAACCCGTGAAAGAGCGGGAAATGTTCCTCAGAACTCATATATCTTATTTTGTTTGTCTAAAATACCATGGAGAAGACATGAAATCATATGATAGTTTTTGCCCAGCTGGATGTAATTATGACCAGGCATTTGAAAAGGCACCACTATCCGCGTTGGCTTGAATGATGTCATTTCAGACTTTGCCGCGCCGGGCGCTGATGTCAGTGCATGTGACTGGCGCGCTGATTTGAGGTCAGTTGTTTGGTTGCTTTGCTCTGGTCAAACCGGGTCAAACTCTGGCTGCAGGGAGAAGAAACTGACCCACCACGGCGCCCAGCTTCAGGTGAACCGGCCATGGAAGGTCTGTCTACAAATGTATTATGGAATATATACTGAGTTATGCGTGGTAACCTTATAACGTTACTCTTAACTCATCTCTTGTCTTCGAGTATTTCAAGGAATGGGAAAATTATGAGTATTTAACAACTCAATAAATAACAATTAGTTTTTAGTACCAGAATATCGAACAAAATGAAATAAAATGTTAAGATTTCATAAAAAAAAAAAAATCTGTTTTAATCTGTCAGTCAGTTTTTACTCTTGAATTAAATTATTTTTAATTAAATGCTTTTTCAGGCTGTAAATCTGTGTATTTTTAAAATGCTTAGCAGTAACCCTAAACAAGTCATGGAAAAAAATAAAATAATACATAGGTAAATAGATATTTTTAATCAAATAAAACATAATGGAGAACAAAAACTGTTTTAATAGTTAAAATAAGGTTAATCCAGGTTAAATTTTCTAGTGAGAAAAGAGTTTATCGGAAAGTGCAGCGACGACATCTGCTGGTAGAAGGATCAAAAGGATTTTAAGGTCAGTCTTGCAATAATTTATTTATTTTTCTTTTTTTATGAACTTTATGTAAAAAACACTTGAAAAAAGTGCATTGTATTATGTACAAATAGTAAGTAAATTATTATATATTTTTTAGTTATTTAGTTATAAAAGAGATGTATAAATTTAGTTGTAAAAGAGTTTCTATCATCTTTTTCTTTTAAAGTGTCAGTCAGTGCATGTCGCTAATAAGTCTGCATGTTCTGTGTGTCTGTGTGAATGCGTGGAGTAGTCACTTGCTCACCAATGGATCCTCTGCAGTGAATGGGTGCCGTCAGAATGAGTGTCCAAACATCACAGCTTGTAAAACATCACAATAATCCACAAGTAATCCACATAACTCCAGTCCATCAATTAGCATTATGTGAAGCAAAAATCTGCTAGTTTGTTAGAAAGTAGTCCATTATTAAGATGTATTCAACTTAACACAATTGCTTCTGGCTAGGAGTCCTCTATACATAATATTGTTTTCTACTGTGAAAAAGCATCTTGACTGAATCAGGAGTAAATTTGTGCAGTTTAAGCACTATTTACAAATGAAAACAGTTTGAAACAATTATGTCAGTGGATTTTTATGTGAGAGGACAACAGGAAATGGAAAACACAGAATTTAGGGAAAAATAAAATGCATTTCATGGGGCCCTAAATTAAAATGTAGCTCCTCTGTGGAATTTATATATATATATATATATAGAGAGAGAGAGAGAGAGAGTATATCAAACAAGTAGCCATTGAGACTATTTTATCCCTTCAGGGAGCCCTCACTCACAAAAAGGTTGGAGACCCCTGGTCTAGAGGCTATTCCCTCAGGCTGCTCCATATGGCCGGGCAAACTGAAACTGTGCTTTACTGGCAGGAGTGGAGGGGTAAGACTGGGGGTCTCCTGAGAGAATTAACATGCTAAAACCCTGACTCATAGATACTGTAGAGGCCTGTAACGGGACCTGCCATGAACACCCTGCTGTCTAAAAACATGTTCTTTTACTGACACGAGGAGTGAAAAAGAGGTGTCCTCAATTGAAAACATGGAAGTTTAATTAATAATTGAATCATGACTTTATCTTCACGTACGCCTTGAAGTTTTAGTTAAAGGAACAGGATACCCAAAAATGACTGCTGCCGAACATTTACCCTCAGGCCATCCAAGATTTAGATGAGTTTGTTTCTGCATCAGAACAGATTTGGAGACATTTAGAATTGAATCACTTGCTCACCAATGGATCCTCTGCAGTGAATGGGTGCCGTCAGAATGAGTGTCCAAACATCACAGCTTGTAAAACATCACAATAATCCACAAGTAATCCACATAACTCCAGTCCATCAATTAGCATTATGTGAAGCAAAAATCTGCTAGTTTGTTAGAAAGTAGTCCATTATTAAGATGTATTCAACTTAACACAATTGCTTCTGGCTAGGAGTCCTCTATACATAATATTGTTTTCTACTGTGAAAAAGCATCTTGACTGAATCAGGAGTAAATTTGTGCAGTTTAAGCACTATTTACAAATGAAAACAGTTTGAAACAATTATGTCAGTGGATTTTTATGTGAGAGGACAACAGGGGATGGACTTTTTCACTGGAGAAAGCGTTATTATGCATTATGGACAGAAATGACGCTTTAAAGTTAAGACATCCTAATGATAGATTTGTTTCTTACAAATACACTTCTTTTCACTTCACACTCTCATTCTGACTGCACCCATTTACTGCAGAGGATCCACTTGTGAGCAAGTGACGTAATGCTGAATTTCTCTAAATCTATTCTGATGAAAAAAACAAAATCATCTACATCTCGGGTGGCCTGAGGGTGAGTACATTTTTCAGCTAATTTTCATTTTTTTATGAACCATTCTTATAACTAATAACCTGAATTTAGCTCCTCTTATCACTGCAGTTAATCTTATTTTAAACTCAGATCATCAAGTTTAGGATTTTTTTTTTATCTAGCTTTTAAATGTTATTCTTGTCATTCTGTCTTTCATCAATATTCTTATCCTCTTGTTCACAGGCTTTGTCTAAAATGCAAAGAGCTGCTGCACCATCATTCTTCAGACACTAGAGGCTGCTGTCTTCTTTTCTCCCCCAAAGAAAGCTGCATCCACGTTTTTGTTGTTGTTTTATTGACATGAGACATATGATTAAACGCATATGATATGCTTGCTAAACATTCTCTGGGGCATAAAGCTCACAGATCATAAACCTTTCAGCACACAGAGTCTGGGAACTCTGTAACCTTGAACTCTCTGCCCAGGATAGCTGGGCATTTTAACAAATTACCAACATACCAGCTGTGCGACCGAAATCTAAACATTACGCACAATTTTTAGACATGAATGTAGATCATTAAAACTGTCAAGAAATAAAACATGTATTTACATTTTTCACATGAGACCACAAGCTCTCATATTTCAAGTATCTGACGGTAAAGTCCTGTGTTAGGTTGTTTGATTTCTAATCTTGACATTTAGTACAACAAAAAATGCAAGCTGTGCTGTAAAACATGCAGAACTACGGAGAGGAAACTAGTTTCTCACGACCATGTTTCATCACATTCCATGTGTCTAGCAGTGATGAAAGGGTGCGCTGGTTCATTCCTTCCCTCAGTGTGATTTAATCATGAGCCTGTGATGAAAAAAAAAAAGAAAGAAAATATATATGTAATTGGCTTGTCTACATAAGGATTGACTTATAATAATCCACACAGCTGGCCTGCTTTGCCCCAGGGTGAGTTTTTTATAAGACCATCCTTTATTGTACACTTGTGCGCAACAGCATATCCAATATTCTTTTTTTTCCTGCATAATAATGATATCTAATGTACTTGATTGCTCTTCAAAGGTTCATGTTAAAAGTTGAAAGTTAATGTTAAAACTCACTTTGTAAGTAATAGACAATAATGTCTATTACAACTACTTACTGTATTTAGCCATTTAAAATGTTCAGATTTCTGTGTCTGATTAAATAAGAGGCCAAAAGTAACCCAACAGGTTAATAGTGAATACCTGTCTTTGTAAAGACATATTCAACATATTCAATGGCTGGGGGGCACATAAGATACGAAGTTATCATATTAGAGAACCATCGTTTAGAACGGTGAGTACTTCTTGAATCTGAAGCCTATTATAAAAGGTGAAAAAGAAGAGTTAATGTTGTGGAGTGTGTTTTGCATTTATTATACATATTTCTAGAGCTCATGAAACAGGCCTAGTAAAATCTCATCGCACCTCTGCTTGTACTATTAACAGCAAGTAGCCAAATTTCACAAGGGTGCCATGTCAGACCACTTTAAGTGGAATGTTATATTAGGAATGACCTCATGACTCAATCATCTTTCTTGACCTGCGGCACATATATGATTCAGAAACATTATTCTGGTGGTTTGCAGACAGTCAAAGAATCTGAGTCATTCAGCATGGCCAAGATAAGAACGAATGAAATATCTTTCACTTTGTGTTTAAGCTATGGTTACATTTAGTTGTTCTTCCTTCAACAGAATATCTGCTTAAAACTGGATTGGTGCGTGGACACTTTACACTGTTAAAAACAATACTGTGCTACTGAATTCGAAGGCCCTGCTTACAGTTCACTTCATTCTCCTCTCCTTCAGCCATGGGGGTGGAGAATTGCTTTAACCCCTGTCCTTACACACACACATAAAGAGAAATGCACGCTAAAACCAGTCAGGCAGGTGGAAAAAAAGGCAAATCCACCAACATCAAGTCAAAAGGAATACAGTTGCTATAGAGATCACTTCAAAAAAGTGAAAGAAAAGGGGGCATTATTCCCAACTTTAAGTGGAATGTTATATTAGGAATGACCTCATGACTCAATCATCTTTCTTGACCTGCGGCACATATATGATTCAGAAACATTATTCTGGTGGTTTGCAGACAGTCAAAGAATCTGAGTCATTCAGCATGGCCAAGATAAGAACGAATGAAATATCTTTCACTTTGTGTTTAAGCTATGGTTACATTTAGTTGTTCTTCCTTCAACAGAATATCTGCTTAAAACTGGATTGGTGCGTGGACACTTTACACTGTTAAAAACAATACTGTGCTACTGAATTCGAAGGCCCTGCTTACAGTTCACTTCATTCTCCTCTCCTTCAGCCATGGGGGTGGAGAATTGCTTTAACCCCTGTCCTTACACACACACATAAAGAGAAATGCACGCTAAAACCAGTCAGGCAGGTGGAAAAAAAGGCAAATCCACCAACATCAAGTCAAAAGGAATACAGTTGCTATAGAGATCACTTCAAAAAAGTGAAAGAAAAGGGGGCATTATTCCCAAAACCCATTATAAAGCCCATCTAATCTAGTAAAATATGCACCCAAGGTGAGGGGGAAGGGAAGGGAGAAGGAGGGGGAGGGTATATGGATTGTGGGCAGTGGGCAGGAGAGGCTGTGATAACGACAGATGTCTCACAAACCGTGGGTTTAACAGGAGGGGTGAAAAGAGAAAAAAACGCCCAGTCGCAGATTGGACCTCAGGGAGAGAGTAGGACTGGCTCGAACTGAATCACATTCACTACTACAGGAGAAAGGAAAGTACCTTCAACGCGCTCTTACGCACGGATTTTCACAGAAGCAGGTCAGTAAAATGTTAGCAGTGACTCTGAATAACGGGTAAAAAATCACTTACAAGACAAAGCGTTTTATTGGGGCTGGAGATATAGTTGAACGCAGACAGCACGAGCCGTTCTTTGTTCTCGTAATTTTCATGTCACTCGTACAAACTAAAAAAGGTACAACATAAGCATCCCATATCTATGTTACTCAATAACTAAACGTGAAAAAATGTCGATTTCCTAGAAATGTCTGAATGACACTTTAAAAATGTCACATTTATAATCTTTCTAAGCTTAATGTTATTACGGGAACGTGTGACTTGTGTCCTATAAGATTGGGAGGTTAAAATGTGAGTAAAAGTAAAAATAAGTCATATATAGAAGCTTTTGTTTTATTATTTTATATTTCAAAATGAAGCAGTGGGTTACAGGTAGCTCTTACTCAGTTAAAGATTTAACCCCTTTTGTATTTCGAGTTCCCTTTACTGGTGCTTTTCTATTGAAAGCATGGTTTTAAGGAAATAGGAAGCATTGATTTGCTCTTATTAAATTCTTATTAAAACGTAAGGAGGAGCCGGTCGATATGAAAGGGGTGGGGTGGGGGGGCTTGGGTGGTGGTGATGGGGTGGGGGTATGTGTCTTTAAAACTATATTACATTTTGTGTGCGTGTACACTGGAAATATGTAAATATATTAAAATGCAAAATTATATTTGTGTTTTTATTAAATATTTCCACCACATTCCACAACATTTTTTTCTTATGCATCTTATATATTGTAACCTACAGCCAGACATGGGATAGGCTACTTGGTTTACCATATTTGCTCTGGGTATTTCACTAGTCTTCAAGGACATAACTTTCAGAATATCATTAAGCAAATTTCTTTACATCATTATATTAATGAGTAACTTCGTCAAGCAAGATTTGCAGGAATAATGGAGGCTGTGAAGTGTACTGGCACAGAGCGCTGTGAGAGGCTGTAATAAAAACTGTCTTTAGTGAGCGCTGACATAGGCAGCACATTTCAGCAGTGGGACTCATCTGCAGGTTGGACTGGGGCATGACTGCGTATCCGGTCTTTGTTTGCCCCAGTGCAGCACTATGGACAGCTCCTATTGTAACCCCACCATGCTGCAGCTTAAAGGATAGTATCCAATTGAGCTGCAATAACTGCAGGTCTTTGAAAGGTTGCAAATGGTGTCATATCAGTGGCAAGAAAAAACATTTAATCTACCTCTCACATCCATAATTCCATATGTATCTGAAACCAGTTCCAATTAACAAATTAGGTTCCTTGCCATTTACAAGAATGTTTTCGGTAACAGGAAAAGTTGTCTAATAAAACCTTTCATTAGAGTTTAAAAATAATGATTTAAGTAACATCATTAGCATTGACAGATGTGACCAAATGTGATTCAGTTCATGTTATCTAATCAGTCTTTCCCCTGAAACTTATCTTTACACATCCCCAAACCAAGCTGCTTTACCAACCAGAACCAGCCATGAAAAAATTCTAAGAGAAGTGAATGAGTTTTATACGACTTTTTTATTTATTTTAGTAAAACTGTATACAGATTGATAGAATAAAAAAAATGCAGACATAATTCAATACTTGACATAACTAGACCTGTTGACTTGGTTTTGTTGGTTTTGTCTAGTTTTCTGATGATTCACATGTTAAAAGTGCTATGTTTCGCTTCCAAATCGTTCTACCCCATTATGTACAATCAGTGCCTGCTGCCTTCACACTGTAAGACTGGGTTCTTGAATGATATATTTACAAGTTTACAAAAACTTAAGTGACATTCCCATCCAGTCACCGTTTGTCCTTAAGCCACGTCCTCCTCCATAACAAAGTTGGATTGCATTCAAAGTCCTTGGCAGAGATTGCATTGGGTTGAAATGATTGAGTGAATGCCCTTTAAATGGAGAAATAGGGTGGGCTATGTGAGCACTTTTACCTTGTACAATTTCATATCCATAATGAGGTGCTAAGAATATTGGTTATTTTCCAATGGAGTTTTAGACAAATTTTTTGCACAGGCATGTAGCTCAAACAGTTGAGTATGGCACTAGAAATGTCAAAGTCATGTGTTTGATTCCCAAGGAATTTATGAACTGATAAAAATGTATAATGAAGGAATGCAATGGATCTTGCTTTGGATAAAAGCATCTGACAAATGCATAAATATAAATATATTGAAATGCAGTGATGTTTGTAGCTTACATAAGATGTTCTTCTGTTCCCACAGAACATGGGAGGCAAGCTAAGCAAACGGAAGAAGGGATATGATGTCAGTGACCCTAAAGAGAAGAAAGAGGAGAGTGCTGTGGCAGCAGTTGAACCAGCTGAGAAGAAGGCAGAGACCCCTGTGACTGAGTCGGAGGCTGCACCGCAGGAGGCTGCTACGGTAAGTGCAGCAGCGCCAGTGGTGGAGTCTGAAGCACCAGCTGAGAAGCCCACCTCTCCTTCAGCAGCACAAGCAGAGGTGAAGAAGGATGATGCTGCTCCAGAAAAACCAGTGGCTACAAAAGAGGCATCTACTGCTGCATCTAAGGAACCAGAAAGTGCTCCAGAGAAACCAGCAGATGTACCAGAGTCACAAGCAGCAGAGGTACCAGCATCTGCATCAGAGGCAACAGCAGTAGAGTCACCAGCTGCTACACAAGAGGCACCAGCAGCAGAGGTACCAGCAGCTGCAGTAGAAACACCAGCAGCGGCACCAGAGGTATCTGCACCCAAGGAACCTGCAGATGCACCAGAAGCATCAGCAGCAGAGGACCCTTCAGCTGCATTTGAGGAACCAGTGACAAAGGAACCTGCAGCTGCACCTGAGGAACCAGTGACAAAGGAAACTGCAGCTGCACCTGAGGAACCAGTGACAAAGGAACCTGCAGCTGCACCTGAGGAACCAGTGACAAAGGAAACTGCAGCTGCACCATGTACCAGAGTCACAAGCAGCAGAGGTACCAGCATCTGCATCAGAGGCAACAGCAGTAGAGTCACCAGCTGCTACACAAGAGGCACCAGCAGCAGAGGTACCAGCAGCTGCAGTAGAAACACCAGCAGCGGCACCAGAGGTATCTGCACCCAAGGAACCTGCAGATGCACCAGAAGCATCAGCACCAGAGGACCCTTCAGCTGCATTTGAGGAACCAGTGACAAAGGAACCTGCAGCTGCACCTGAGGAACCAGTGACAAAGGAAACTGCAGCTGCACCTGAGGAACCAGTGACAAAGGAACCTGCAGCTGCACCTGAGGAACCAGTGATAAAGGAACCTGAAGCTGCACCTCAGGAACCAGCAGCTCTACCAGAGGCACCAGTGACAGAGAAACCTACGGCTGTAACAGAAGAACCAGCCACTGCACCAGAGACACCAGTAACAGAGGAACCTGTAACACTATCTAAGAAACCAGCAACTGTGCCTGAGGAGCATGCAACTGCCCCAGAGGCTGAGGATTCTGCAGCTGCACTCGAGGAACCTGCACCTGTGCTAGAAGAGCCTGTCTCGTCGCCTAAACTTGAAGCCTCACCAGTGGAACCTGTCACAGAGGAGGTGGTAGAGAAAGTGGTTGAGGAGGTTGCAAATACCAGTCAATTGTCCACTGAAATTACAGAAACCAACGATGTCAGGCCAGAATCAGAGACTGTTACTAAGGCAGCAGCTCCAGAACCAGTCGCAGAGTCTGCCCCAGTGCCTGAACCTGTTTCCGAAGCATTGAGTGTAGCAGAGGTCGAGATAGCTGTGCCTTCCCCAGAGGAACCCACACCAGTCACAGAGCCTGAATCTGAAACTGCTGCACCCCCTGAGGTTACACTAACACAAGCAAATCCTGAGCCATCCCCAGAGCCAACACAACCCGAACCTGTGGCAGAACAAAAGAGTGCAGAGGAGTCCATTCCTGCAATCGTCATCTTAGAATCAACCTCAACCAATGAGCTCTGCCTTGAGGAACCTGCCTTGACTGTAACAGATCTGAAGCTGAATAATGGAGACTGCGAGAGTGCTGGCTTAGCAGAGGAATCTGTGTCGGCTTCCCCTGAGGTAAACGGGGAATGCCATGTGCAGGCACCAGACGTAGCCACTGCAGATGTCCTTGAGTCCCCGGTTGAGGCATGTGTAAATGGTGTGAAGGACAAAGAACCCCCTCAAGAGCTAAGTGACTGTGAACTGAAAAAGGACTTGAGTTTGGTTGCTGACTTTCAGGCTCCAGCTCCGATTGGCGACGTGGTAGAAGTGCCACAGTGAGTCGGCTGAGCTGTCGACTTAATCTGAGAAACAAACCTTAAATGTGAATCCCATATTGATGCAAACAAACAAATGAAACAATCGTCTGACAACACAGGCTTTCTGAAAATAAATGTGAAAAATGCCTGTTGTGTTCTCTCAGGCAAAGGAATTTCTGGTTAACCAAAATGAAATACAACCACCCAAGAGCTAAGAGTGCGATAAACGAAGAATGAAACAGTGAGGGTAAAAGCCTAAACGGAAATGGGAGGGAAAGAATGAGAGAGCGAGAGAGAAAGAGAGCGAATGGTCTTTGAAGTCTTTGTGGCCGATGTCCTGCTGTCATTGCAGAGAGTGATCTTACAGGCCTGGTTGAATATGTAAGCCAGAGAAATGATGATTAGACATGAGCAGAATTTTTAATTATTGAGATGGCAGAACAGAAATGCTAGACAGTAACAATAGTAAAAATGAATTGAATGAACAGAATCATCTTTTGTGTGCGAGACTGATCCATACTGAAATGGTTTATTGGATTAGCATTTAATAGTATATAATCTAATTTAGACCACATTTCTGTCACCATGTAATACGGAGATTTGAGGATGAAGCATTTTGAACTTTTCATGTTGGGAGAATCAGTGGGGAATGTTCATTTTAACTTAATGGCTTGGCTTAGAAAATAAAACACTCTGTAATACCTTAAAAATGGTTCTTTCTTTTTTGCATTTTTGTGAATGTTGTGCTGAATAGATGCATATGTTCTTTGTTCACTTAAACGAGTAATACTTAAACAAGTATTTCAAATAAATGTATGATGCAATTGATACGGCCATTTTGTGCCGTAGTAGAGATCTGACTGGCAGGTCACCATTCCAACAATATCCCAAGAGTCATTGACTTTGTAAATTTGTACTGTGGGGCTGGGCATCAGACACGTGTTGTTTTGAGTAACATGGAACATGGCCATGAATACAAATGTATGTTCAAAGGCTTAACTCAATCAGGTTGTGGTAGAACAGGGGAAATAATTTTTTATTCTTCACAGGGGGGAAGAGGTTTCAGGATAACAAGTGGGTGATGCTGTACAATGCAGCAGACTGCAGTGGGGGAACAAGACTGGGGAACGTATCTTGCTTGAAAGGAGGAGCTCTGAGAGAGGGAGAGAGCGGCCATGACAAAAAAAGATAATGCCTTCAGACAGTTTTACACATACATATACACGTACATAACCTCCCACATAGAAAGGAAAACACATGGACAAATTAGAAACACATCTTAATAATCTCACAAAAAATAGGTACTGCAAATGTGCTACTCTCACCTACTCTCTAAAAGAAAAGAGAGGCTGTCTCACTTAAGTGTGAATGCACAGAACTGATTACAGGGTACTTTTGTACCACTGTGTGTGAGTGTCTGCATGAGAAGACAACAGAGGCTAGAATGAGAAAGGCTTTGCGAGAGATGATGCTGGAAATATCTGAACGTTCCCAAGTGCCCTCCACAGGCACCATAATGAGCTCCTCCACATACCAAGCACGAATTCTCGGGTTTCTTAAAAAAAAACACACACAGGCATACAGATTTATGAAAGGAATGTTCTCTAAAGCTGAGGGGGGTGGGGGCAGGATGGGTGAATGAACTCACTTGCTTCAGTGTTTTTCAGAGTCACTGTTAAACTTGTTCTCTTTGTGAAATCAGAATGAACAGAATGTATTTTGTACCACCTTCTGAAAAATACTATATAAACTAATATTATACAGCGGTGTTACACATTTAAAGGGGTAGTACCCCAAAAATGAAAATCCTTTCATAATTTACTCACTCTCTTGTCGTTCCAAAACTGTTTGACTTTTGTAGAACAAAAAAGAAGATTTGAAGAATGTTAATTTTATACACACAACACTGACATGTTTACAAATATTCAACTTTTTTTTTAGTTTTGTAAAAAAAAAATTAAAAGTGAAAAATTATCTTGATATCTTGCACTATATGGTTTATATGCCTCTTATAGTTTGTCATCAAGAAGAAATCTCTGGTTTACAGATTTAACGGAAGCGGTCCAGTGTGAGGAATTTTCTGTGCAAGGTATCCAGTTTCCTCATTCCATCTTACTGTGCTTGGGGAACAAGTTTCCTTCCTTCCTTTGGCTTTCTCTCTCTCTCTCTCTCTCTCGCTCCCTTCCTCCCATATTCTTCCTCTCTTTTTCTTAGCTTTCATGCACAACAGATGAGAGGCCCTGCTTGCATCTTGATTTAAAGGCTCTCTACACAGTGCATATTTGTGCAGCCGCAGCTGCAGTGCCTGGATACGCCAGCACTATGTGTTCTATACTGGTGCCTTGGCACAAAACTCGACGTGCTTTCCTGTCCCTTTCTACACACGAGGACATTTGATCTTTCACTTTCGCTGCTCTTAAAATAAAATCCCCTTCCTTGTATTAAAAAAGTTGGTATAGATAAAATCTGGCACATGTATTAAAGGTTTTATGTAATTTAAACATTATATGAAGTCGGCATATAACAGAAATTCACCCTATTCAGTTCTATTTTAGAAATGCATCTTATTTTGAATTATTTATCTGTGTTTTATTCCATTTAATTATTTTTTTATTTTGTAATTTTTAATTAAAATTTCATAACACAATTTTCTGGTAAAATGACAGACTTCACTCTGGTGACATATGAAGCAGTTCTCCAATAATTTACTCCAGTCGTTTAAACTCCGCCCCTTTCTTACAATCAGCTGCAACTCCCATTCAGACCTGTCTCCATCCAATCAACAACCAATGGATAGAACTCTGTTTCCCACCCTACTTTTTTTTTCTTTTCAATAATCCATTTCACTCAGATATGTGTCACAATACCAAAGAAACAATCTGTTGCTACATTTGTTGCATTGAGCTTTTAAAGACAACTTTTGAGTTAAAACTATCACGGAAAACACACAAAACAGACAAAGTGAGCATTTTAGCATTTTACTGTGTGCCAAACTGCACTGACAAAAATATATTTGTGTGATATTCTGATGTGGTTGTTATCTGGCAGAAGTGTTTCATAACATATTTTTATTTACTTTACTTTTTGTCTCAGAATTGTTCGATTTTTGCAATGTTATTTGGTGGAAGTGTCCATAAAGATGATTTGAACAGTGATCAACTGTGAAAGGGAGGGGGAAAAAACAGAGAGAAAAATGCAAACAAAAGTCAGCATCCTGAAGTTGACAAAAAAAAAAAAAAGTGTGGTTTCTTAGTAAATCCATATCACATGACCACAAAAAGGCCTGTTATCCTTACAGAAAGTCAACGGTTGACTGCGGTCCAGGTCACGCCGCTTTTGCAGCACTACACGGTGAAGAAAATGACTGATTGTCTCACCCAAATGAACTGACTTCTTTCTACTACCGATTTCAATCCTTGAAAGGCAAGTGTTAAAGTGTTAAAAAAAACTGAAAAACTCCAAGGGGGATTCCCATTGTTTTTACTACTCCTCTCTTATTCTCTCACTCCCTTTGTGATTCATGGCCTGGCAATGCTCTGCCCATCTGTGCAGCTGCTCTTTAAGGCTATCATTATATGCGGGTGTGCAGAAGGCTTTCAGCCTGAGCTCAGTCATACTTACAACCAGTATTGATCCACGAGTTAGCTTAATGGCCACCGAGAGGGCTGGGTCTGCCTCCTTACCCTTTCCCCTCTATTGCTCTCTCTCCCTCCCCGTGTATATAGATTGCACAGTCTATCCTGGCCTGGCCTGCTGTCTATCCAAGCTCTGCAGCACACTTTTGTAACAGACCCAGCCAAATGCATGTTTGAGAGGTGAGGAAAGGCACGAGTGGGGGTTCTGCGTGTGTGTGTGTGAGCTGGTGACAGCCCCAGCATGGAGTCTCTATGGGGGAAGATGTGTCTTTTTCGTGCCGCCCAACCCCCTTCCTCTCTTCCTTCTCCCCTCAGCCATTAGGAGAGAGAGAATTTTATACCCTGACACTTAATCATTCTAGACCATTAAACAGAGGAAGGAGGAACCAGAAGCCGCGTGCTAAGCAGAGCTCATTTTCCCCTGAACAGCACAGCAATCCAAGCTGATTGTGTTTGATGTTACACTCCTCTTTGTAGGCATTATAGATAGTAGGCAGTTGCTATAAGGTTAAATAGCAAGCTTTAGGCGGAGATATGTATACAGACATGTTTACTTGATCCAGGAGTGTTTACTGGGGAACAGGTAGCCTCATCAAAAAATTGTCCCCATATTTTCCATGCACATGACATGCAGAAGAGAGCGAGAGAGAGAAAAGATATTGTGGCCAGCAGTTAAGAATTCATTCCCACAACATTTTAATTTCTTCCTTCATTTTAGTTCAATTGTAGCCACAGTTTAATTAAATTAAACTGAGAGAATGAGTTGACACTTTTCACAAACTGTTAATAAACAGTTATTAACATGATAAATCTTTTTTTTAAATTCTCATTTTAAAAAAAAAGAATGTAACACTATACTTTGTGTTAAATTACCTTCGAATGAAATTTCATAAAACTAGTTGCTGTGCGAGTGTTTCCAGTACAACCGCCAAGGGAGAGTGACGTCAAATTTGACATATTTCTCTCTTCTTAGCACCATAATCAATCTCTCGATATTTTTTCCTCTGTGGAAAAGTGTTGTAATGGATTTTTTTAAAAATTTTGCTATTAGAGAAAAAAAAAAAAGGTTGTAGTTTGCATTCACCACTATTGAAGTTTACCTAAATATGACGACTTCTGTGAACCCTAGAAATGTGAAAAGGGCCCAACAGTACAACATGGCCATGTAACTAATAAAATGTCAATAAAACATTAATAAAATGTGGGACTTGATTCTTAATTTGTGGCCACAATATCTAATTTTTATTTCGCATTTCATGTTCAGGGCTCTAGTTATGGAAATATAAATTGATTTTTCGTACAAACTATCCCGTTACTGTGTGATAAACCGCTACAAGCGATTCAGAGTGAGTGAACTGTCTGAATGAGTCAAATGTGGAAAAGTGTTGTAATGGATTTTTTTTTTAATTTTGCTATTAGAGAAAAAAAAAAAGGTTGTAGTTTGCATTCACCACTATTGAAGTTTACCTAAATATGACGACTTCTGTGAACCCTAGAAATGTGAAAAGGGCCCAACAGTACAACATGGCCATGTAACTAATAAAATGTCAATAAAACATTAATAAAATGTGGGACTTGATTCTTAATTTGTGGCCACAATATCTAATTTTTATTTCGCATTTCATGTTCAGGGCTCTAGTTATGGAAATATAAATTGATTTTTCGAACAAACTATCCCGTTACTGTGTGATAAACCGCTACAAGCGATTCAGAGTGAGTGAACTGTTTGAATGAGTCAAACTGAATCATGAACAATTCTAGACCTTTTTACAAACCCATCTGAAAGATTATATCAGAAGAGTGATTAATTTGTGAATTTTGCTAGTTCTGATCAGCTGATATAATAGTTGAAATATTACCTGGGAAAATTATTCTCAGGTTAGTTTATGGTAATCGGGAAGGGTTTATCAGTTCTATTTTACTGGGGCAAAGCAGTATTACCTTATGCCCCAATAACAAGGGTCTAGAGATACATTGACTCTGACATTGTTTTTTGCAAAGTCATAAATAAAATCAGCACTTTGACATGGTTAGATGAAT